AATGGCAAAAATAAGAGCAGAGGGTACCGATTCGATAGACATAAATCGAACGAAAAATAAAAACATAAATCGACCGACGCGATCAGATCGAAAATAGTTGAAAAACCCGGTGCCGATTCGATTGTCACGAATTGATCAATTACCGTGAATCGATCGATAATCTGGGAATCGGTCGACAAACCAAGAGTCGGTCGACAAATCCGGGACGCAGTTGACAAACCCGGGAATCGATTGACAAATCCTTGAATCTCCAGGACCCAGTAGGTGGAGGTGGCCCGTTGAAGGCGCAAAGCGTCCTCTGAGAGTTGGGCCGCATAGCAGTGCCCCTCAGTTCTAACATGGTAATGTGTGACTGACCCACTGACTTACAATGGAGTCAACCATGCGCAATGCACTTGGAAAGTGACGAAAAAATCGTTTCACGGCAAGAGACCACTCGTTACGAATGATTAATCAAAATGATGATGATTCTATCCCTGGATGTTGGTGATGCTAATCAGGAAATCAGTTATGAGAGCGATCAGTCGTTGCGCAGATCCCCTCTCCGCGCTAGAATTTCCCCGGATGCGCGATGCTCATAGCGCAGGCGCGCCGCTTTTCCTCAACACGACGCGAGGCATCTGAAAAGGGAAATCATTTGGACGTATTCATGCTGAAAGGAACTATGTGCATAAGGTTTGCGTGGGATATAGTTCCTTTTGGCGTAGATACGTTCATTTGTATCTCTATGTAAATATGAGTCTTTTCCTGGATACGGTGTTTATGAACGTTGAACATACTCTAATCTAACTCCGCGTTTACTATTTAAGTACCTGAGGTCCAGCACTTGATGTTTACGAGACCAAACGAGCAGCTCGTCTCTTACTAATGATTGGATTGCATTTTGCAAAAAGGAACCACTAGCATTGCAATGTTGCTAAGATTGTGCAACTTCTTTTGTCTTGGAGGAAAACCCCGATTATCCTTTAATAGTTTCTATTTTACTCGCCAAAAACTGTAAATTTAAGACAAAAATTACCATCTAAATTTCATAGTTTTTCACGATTTCCGCAATTTTATTGCAAAAGATGAAGTTGCACAATCTTAGCATCATTGCAATACTAGTGGTTCCTTTTTGCAAAATGCAATCCAATTACAGTTCTAACTGCCCCTGATGAGTTTCCCCTTTGACATAAAACGTCATCATGAGTAAACTTTCGAGGCATCAAAGTTCGTTTAGAAGAGGTAACACATAGTAAACATGGAGTGCATAGGGTCAACTGACGTAAAATTGGACGTATTTCTTTCAAACGGAACTATGTTCATTATGATGTGAGTCCTGTTATGCACACATTCTTATGGGTCTCAGGGCTCATGTCTTAATGCACATAGTTCCGTTTGATAGAAATACGTCCAATTATAAAAATCAACTCGTCGTTTCCGTCACGAAAGAACGTAACTAGATTTCAATGTTGCCATACTTCCCCTCGAGAATAGAATTTTTACGGGGAGAATTTTGTGAATTTCATACTTATAATCCTACTGATTTTTCTTCTTATCTCATTTAATAATCAGAAAAGATTGGTCCAGGCATTGCACTAGCACATTCATCAGGGTTACCACAGAAGTTAAAAAATGAAATTCCCTGACATTTCCCTGTCACATTTTGGTCAAATCCCCTGAGAATTGAAAATATACTACATATAGATGGTCAAAAAGACAATTTCAAATAGTTTTCACTTAAAATTTATCGTTTGAAACTTCAAATCTAGTCCAGAAAGCAAATAAAGGTAACTTGACAATTTTTCCATGACATTTTCGACATTTTCGTCATTTTCCCTGACAATTCCAGGTTTCCCCTGACTTTTTATAAATTCTCTGACATTTCCCTGATTTCCCTGTCACATTTTAGTAAAGTTCCCTGAAAATTGAAAATATACTAGATGGTCAAAAAGACAATTTCAAGTAGTTTTCACTTTGAAACGTCAAATCTAGTCCAGAAAGCCGATAAAGGTAACTTGACAATTTTTCCATGACATTTTCGACATTTCCGTCATTTTCCCTGACAATTGTAAGTTTTCCCTGACTTTTTAAAATTCCCGGCCATTTCCCGGTTTTTCCGGTATTCCCTGACAGTGGCAACCCTGATTCATGTAAAAAAGTTAATTGTTGAAGTCAATTTCACAATCTTGGAATTGAGTTACGTTCCTTCATCCGGAAAACGACGAAATGAAAACATTAATGATCAACGTGAACCTAGCTCGGACCCCACGACTGATTTTTTTTCCCTGCGTACGCGTCAATCCGCTGATGTAATCCAATCTAAAAACTACCTCTCCTCTCTGCAAAGGATTCATTAATCGGGGAAAAGTTTCGGAGCTTAAACGAGACAATAATTCGATTTTTTTCTTTAATTTTGAGCGTTCTTCCTGTCGCGGCGACGGTTCCAATAAGCAAGGTCAGACTCCGCGGTTCGATTCCTTTCGTCCTGTCGATTCTGCTCACGTGCAGTTCGCGCCGCGATGACGTCAAAGGTCCGTCTGATTCACACCGTACGGGCACGGCGCGCGGTGGTAAAAACACGCGACAGGACACGTGGGGGATGTGCCAAGAACAGCTAGCTAATTTCCAGCTTGCCAGCACAATGACCCCCAAACTAGCCGAGTTCCATGCTGCAGTCACTTGATTTCGAACCCACTGCGGGAGCAAGACAATCTGCGAGGGTGACCTAGTCCCTTGATACTGAGGGCAACTGAGGGTCCCTTGATACTGTTGCCTACACTAAAAGTTGAAGGCGAAAGGACATGGCGTTAAAGTCGCCTCTTCCCGTCCAATAAAAAGCTATTTTTTGAGGGTTTTACAGGTATGTGTGGCATTTGACGATGATAACTCTTTTCAACCGCGGAGGAGCGAGATCTTGTGTTGCCTACACCGAAAAGTGTAGGCGAACTGCCGTTGTGTTAGAATCACCACTTCGCGCGCGGTAAAGACACATTTTTTCGATTATTCGACCACGTGGACGCGTTTAGCCTTCAGTAACAATTGTGGATTACAATTAATCGTCCTTTGTATTTTCTTTTCACCTAATTTATCCTCAAATACACACATTTCTCAATTCAGTGCTTCGAATATTCATTTTTCCGATCATATTTAAACTTGACCTTGCCGATTTGATTTATCTCGGTTTCCTTACGAGCCCTGAAAAGCAGGTAGTTTATGGACAGTGGGGCTCATCTCAAAATGCAACTATATACACCGCAAAAAAAAACTGAAGTTTATTCAACATTCTGGATGTGAAAAAAGTGTGCGAGAACTTCAGAAATGCTGAATTACCCGCTCCAGGCCAAGGCTCTCGCGGCATCAGCTTAAGGTGATTCGATGGACGCCATATTTTGTGTCAGAACGGCATGCGATATATCGCATCAATTGGTTCCATATTTTCAGCTACTCGTCATTTTTCTCCTATTTTGAGATCGCAATTTTGTTGTCAGGAGTCTAAAGCACTCACTTACCAATTTTAACAAAGAAATTCAACGTAATAAAGGCGTGGTTTTTTCAGAGAGAAAACATCGCATTCGATACTGATATCGAAACTGCACTCGAATGCGATATTTTCTCTCTGAAAAAACCACGCCTTTATTACGTTGAATTTCTTTGTTAAAATTGGTAAGTGAGTGCTTTAGACTCCTGACAACAGAAGTGCGATCTCAAAATAGGAGAAAAATGACGAGTAGCTGAAAATATGGAACCAATTGATGCGATATATCGCATGCCGTTCTGACACAAAATATGGCGTCCATCGAATCACCTTAAGCTGATGCCGCGAGAGCCTTGCGCTCTGGAATTCGGTAATGACTGAGGGTGTGACAATCAGATGAGGAACTGGATGAATGATGCAGATAAGGATCGCGTGCCGTCATAATTATGTATTGCAATGGCCGTGGTCATCCGAGCTGGAGCTGGGCGCTATAGGGCTCGGTTGCAACGTGCTAAATGCAGCCGGTGCGGCGCTGACGGATATTGCACCACCTATCACGAGATTAATTATCATCGAATCTAGCACTCTCCCGTCTCTTCAATCCTCACTAACGACTATCCCAGCATGTTTATTGTCTATTGTCATTATCTGTGACCGTCCGAGGGAAAAATGACCTTAGACCACAAACTTTCAAAATTGAAGTGTTTGTACCGATCATGCAGTAGAGCTCTAAAAACATTTTGAGAAATTAAAATCTCATAATATCAAATCAGACCGGAATAATGTACTGAAAAAAAGTTACAGGCTATAAAGACATACCGGCCGTTCCGGGTTCAGAGGCCAAAAGTTCCGGGTGCTGAAGCCGTAGCTTCGATTGTTTTAAGTGCTACGCCCGGAATTTTTGGCCTCTGAGACCGGAACGTGGACAGTATGTCTATATAGCCCGTAAGTGCGGCTACCACGGCTGGAGTTTTTTTTCCGATGTTACTATTTAAAACTTTTATAAAGCAACTTCGCGCCCTATATAGTAGCGTAGTCAGGCAGGAAAGGGTGGGGGGCGGGGCAGTAACTAGAAAATTTCCCCAAAAAACTTGAGTTATCGTGATTTTCAGAAATTTTCGACTTTCGGTACCTTGCCATTAATAATTTTTTACCATAGACCCACCATGACAAATAATGTCTGACTACGCCACTGGCCCCTTACCCCCCCCCCCCCAAAAAAAAAAAAAAAACTAAACCATTTGGAACATATTTCTTAGATCACTGGGTGAAATCAACTCGCTATAGGCGGAGCCAAAAGGCGGGTAATACCAGGTTTTGGTGCCTCTTGTAGCTACTCGATTTCATACCGGGTACAATATGCGGTGAAGCACGCCAGTCAACCAAGCTGATTGCACGTAATGATTGTTGCGCTGAACAGCTTAACTCGGGAAATTAATCTAGCTTTTCCCTTTTAAGTTATAATGAAATGACATCACCTTGGTTGGTGTACTCTATTGCAACTGACACAAAAAAAACTGTGGAGAAAGGAAAAAATCCTTACCTGGTTTTAAAGCAGACTGCCAGGAGGTGACAACGGAGTAGGAGACATCCCTGAACGAGACGTCGATTTCGGGCCTTTTCGGGAAGTTTGGCTTGTTGTTGTTGGCGCTTCCCAGGAAGAACTCCATCGGCTCTTTCGGCGTTTCGCCGTTGACTTTAGTTTCCGTTAGTGTGATCGACATTGCAACAGTTTCAGGCGACGACACTTCACTCGAAAATCATTCCAAAAGACACGATTTAAAATTCTCACGCGAAGCGAGCGCACTCGTAGAGAAAGTGGCGGACTTCCTTAACAACGCGCGGGATTATCTCAAGAGTGGTTGAGATTTTAAAAGCCTGTACGGCCGAAAACTCCACCGAAGCCGAGTAAAAAAGCACATCCTTCGAGGAAATTATTGTCAGTGAAGTACTTCATCGACAACTGATAGTCATTTACACGATGAGAACTTTCACCGAAAACCACACTCCTTGTCCGATGTCCGAATGCCTCCAATCTGTGAACAAAAATAAGATAGAATTTATGGTCAGTTTTAAAATCATGCATTGATACATTAGGCAGTTCGAGAAAAAACAATCGGAAGTTCACTGGAAAAAAACACATTGGATCTAGAGTCAAGACTCTTAAAAACATCGACAAGAAAAAACACTCTTGATTCAATCGGATTTGTGCTTAAATCAAGAATCAAGCCTCTTAATTTGAGCGGCTTTCCTTTTGATTTAAGCTTAAATCTGATTGAATCAAAAGTATTATTTCTTGTCAATGTTTTCAAGAGTCTGGACTCTAGATCCGATGTGTTTTTTTCCAGTGTTAGCAACGCTGGTGCTATAAGGACCAGAAGTTTATACGATAGGATCAGGACAGGATCTACAGATTTAGGTTCAATGTTTCACCCTTACTTTGATGTATGGTCAGCATATTTTCGAGATTTGGAGACAATTTTAGAAAAAAGGTAGAGACTAAAATACTATGTGGTGTAAGTTGCGTCATGACATGTGGTTCAAAAACCATGGGAAAAAATTTTGAAATTTTATCATATCCGTAAAAATGCATCAAACGCTGCTAAAATCCGACTCCAAAATTAGCGATTATTTAACTACCTAACATGATAGAGATAACTGATCCTGACACTTAATAGTTGTGGCCGCATATTTTTTAAATATATAAAACAAAACACGAGCTTTGAAGATGTAATCGTAATCGCTTACGAGGCTCAAAGAGTGTGACACTAGAAGAGAGATAGCTTCAATGATGGGAGAGCTAGCTGTGGCTACAGCCGCTGGGAGCAATTGCTCGTTATTGGTCTATTTGAGGTCATTTCACTTGACCCTAGTTTTTTCCGTTGTCAATTTTTAGAGCTTCAAAGCGGATTTTTCTCCGGACACAGTTAAAAATGTCAGTCTTTATCGGGATTTGGGTTACTTCGAAAGAACTTTTTCCCGGTCAGACTAACCAGAAGGACTTGGTTGGCAGAACGAATTTTTGGTTAAAACTACCAAAACCGTAGGTTACTCTGATTGTGAGACATCTGGGAATGAAGAAACTGTCCTGCTCAAGTGATGTGCTCTCGTTTCTCCCCATGACATTCAGAGATCTCCCCGTATCTTTTTTGTCTTCTTTGTCTATAGCATCAATTACAACAATCAGCTCACTGGCTACATTAAGAGCTGAAGTAATAACTCAACATAGAACTTTCTAAAATGTTGCCACACTGAAAAAAATGGTATGCTGTTTTAGCACGTACGATGTCAAACTTGTGTCTGGGGATCCATGCTGCCTTGATTGCCCACGCAGTTGAATTTGCATTCACAGGATGTTAACAAGACATGGACAGGATGTAAACAACAGGAAGTTAACTGTGGGGGCAGTAAAGGCAGCATCTTGGGATCACCAGACACATTTTCAACATCCTAGATGCTAAAACAGCATATTATTTTTTTCAGTGCAATAAGTCAAAGACCGCAACGAAGATGACGCCCCCCGCATGGTGAAATTTCTTATTACAAGTCGCTGTTCACCTTGAAGTAGTGAACATAATAAGAAGTCAAAAATGTTTAATTGGAAGGAAACTCTTCTTGAAATACCAGAGCTTGTGTAGCAATTCGGTTATTATCGGAGGTCGCGGGAGTGGTTCGGAAAAGTTAGCCAATGCCGAAACCAAGAGCGAGGTGGACCTTTCTCGAGGAATGAAGGCGCATCGTGCGCAAACGCAACTCCGCGTGCGGTTTCGTAAAAGTGCGTTCATCATCGAAGGCTCCGTGACGGGAGCAAGCCATCGGATCGGAGACGAAAATTATGAGACAGATTGAGCAATGGAAGATTTGGGCAACGGGAGGGTAATTAGCGGCGAGCCGAAAATATGAATGGGTCACGCGGGGGTACTCGAATTTGGACGTATCTCTATCAAACGGAACTATGTGCATTGTGATGTGAGTCCTGTAATGCATATATTCTTATGGGTCTCGGGGCTCATGTCTTAATGCACTTAGTTCCGTTTGATGGAAATACGTCCATTTGTGATACGAGTGGCTCCGGCTCCTCAACGGAAAGATCCAGGCTTTATCCCGGGCTGCGGGTGTAATGCTGCGCACTCAAGGTCTGAATTACGGCATTACGTTCTCTACGCTTACTCATTCATCGTCCATGCGGCCGCGTCGCACAGTGCGGGATCCCGTCGACAAAAATACAAAATGGGGATGTTGCATGTGTGAGGAATTTGCGATTTGACTGTTGATTCTTATGTAAAAGTTCGCGAGAAACACGATGGTCCCACTGGTTTTCTCTGAAATCAACTCCCAAGCTCAAAAAAAGCGCTCAGGTTGAGGCCAAAATGGAGGGAATATCCCACGCTATCCTGAGAATCCACCTCTACATCAAAACAAACTTTCCATGCAAAGATAGGGAGCAAATACATTGACAGGGTTGCCACTTTATTTGGGGACTCTAAAACTGAAAACAAGGCATCACTGCTAATGTATTTGCTCCCTATCTTTGCATGGATAGTTTGTCTTGATGTAGAGGTGGACTCTCAGGATAGCGAGGGATATCCCCTCCATTTTGGTTTCGACTCGAGAGCTTTTTTGAGCTTGGGAGTTGATTTCAGAGAAAACCAGTAGCACCATCGTGTTTCTCGCGAACTTTTACATAAGAATCAACAGTCAAATCGCTAATTCCTCACACATGCAACATCTCCATTGACTCGAGTTTTCCAAATCGACGGCATAAGTCGGCAATCACGTATCTCGTTTGCTGTGTCTGAAAATCTCCGCCTCTGTGTTATTTTTTTAAAGGAGAACAAATTGGCATCATTCCTTGAAGTTCTTGCAGAATTTTCTTCACACGGAGAAGAAAAATCACGGCAGTTTTAGAGAATTGCCGTTGAGTAGTTTTCCGTTTAAAAAATTAAGTATGACAGGAAGTCTGCGACGTCGCAAACCGAGTTATGTGATTGCCGACTTACACCGTCGAAATTTTGTTGTGATATTCGTGATCAGGACAATTTTTCTAACACGAGGGTGTACTTATTTATTTTTTACTTTCCTCCAAACGGTCGTGTAAATGGACCCCGTTGAGCAGAAAGGAACCAAGCCACATCAGCTATTAACAAATTTAACTGGGAAATTTAATTTTTTACAATAGAACATTTGTGCGGACTCATTTGAAAATTTTAAAGAATTTGTTTCGTGCTAAGCAGATGATTCACTGAAATTTGTTCAAAAATCGTTTTTATTAAAGCAAATAATTGCCTAATTGAAGTTCTGCAATAACGGATGTGACTTGGTTCCTTTCTGCTTAACACGGTCCAAAAATGGGTTCGAAGTGGAGATAAACTAAATCATTTTTCTGTGAACGGTCAAAGATAGCACAGCGATTTGGTCAGAATTTCAAATCAATTCTTATGAGGGGAATTCTCATGGGGTAAATATTAATTTCGGAGTATTATCAAACTTAAGCTCGTTTACTTCTGATCAAGAAAACTAAATTAAGTTAAACGGTCGCTGTTTGTTAAATACACGTTTATCATAAGATAAGGACTGGAAACAGATGTGATAAAATCATAGAGTGGTACCGAGTGACTCTCCTTCAGATCTGGAGAGTGTATTTTAATACACAGAAATTAATTATAAAATTTCAACTTTTTTTTATTTCTTACTTTTTTTTTGGACGATGACAATACTTCTTCTACCCGCAAGGGCAGCGAGAGAGTAAAAAATTGCAAAAATGGAAAGATAAATTAGGAACGAAAACCATGCAAGGAAATTTTCTTTAGATTCAGCGGCTAGCTCTGATCGCGCAAGGTTATAGGCACCTGGACGCACGCTCAGGTTTCACCTCGCGTCATCTATCATTCATAGCGCTCACGATCCAAGTCTTAATAACATACAGTATAAATTAATCTGATTCATCATGTACGTTATATGGACGTCATTAGAACAGAGAAGATCAAACTTCAAACAGCACTCAGAGGAAACGCGTATCTAACCGAGCACTTCCATTGGCAATACGTTGCTTTCAAAAGTCCCTTCTCGCATTCACCTCTGCCATTCGTGACGCCCATTTAGTCGCTCTTTTGATGTAAAGACGTACCTCATTTTCTCCATGAACCCCGTTTTACATATAAATAAATGGTCTCTGGAGCTCATGGGAAAATCGAGATTCGGCCTCACGTCCGAGGAGCGACAATATGTATGAGTGTCATACGCAATACTAACTGAATCGGTTACACTAATAATGAGGGATCCAACAATTTTTTTTTGAAGGATTAGTGGGAAAGTCCTGTTGATTGAATCAAATTTAGCGATGGAGAAACAGCGGCAAGAGCAGCTCCTGTTGCCCTTGTATTTATGGGGGTTGCGATTGAGAAATATGTTCGCAAAATTAATTGGGTGCACTTTCAACAAAATAAGCGCTTAATCTCGAATTATTCGCGAGAACTTCTGGGATTCGAACTTCTATTCGTTTACTTGCAAAGAATTTACAGTTAATATTATCTCTTAATGACCTTATGACATTATCATTCTTGCAACATGAAATGAAATAAAAATAAAGCTGAGTACCCGCCTCTTGCCTAAATTCGAATAGGTCATATTCTTCTCCTTTACTTGGTCTTCGTATCTTGTTTTACTGATATATAAATACTTTGTTTAGCTGAGACCACAGGGATTATCAATTTACCTCTGATTCAAACTTACAGTATTATATGATCTCGAAGTTTGAATTGCACGTAAAGTCAGAGTAATAGTCTGAAATATCATGTTCTCAGGCTTGGCGTGTAACCAAAGCCTCATTTCGAAAAGTGCTTCCAAGAGTATATCAATCATTTCGGATGGAGAGTTGATATCGTAGTTCAGACACATACATGCGTGTATGTAGAGAAAACGGTGAAGAAAAAAAATTGAAAGAAACTCGTTTGAAACTATGATGAACCAATTGTACGTATGCTGGTTTAGACAAAAGTGTTGCTCCAACATGATACATAATTATATCTTCGGAACA